ATTAATTGCTTTAATTAAATTATTAGTAGCAAAAGACATATGTTCCTTCACTATTGTATTAGTAAACTCGCGCATATCTTCTAAACAATGACTATCATCTCCATCAATATAATAAGTTTCCAACCATGTTTTCATTATATTATAAACTCTTAATCTTACAGGCTTTTGTTTCTTTTCTTGCCAAATTTTCAGCTCTTCACTACTTAATCTTTCTGGTGGTTGAATAACAAATCTGTCAACTAAATGTCTAAAAAATTCATCTGTAGTACAAAATGATCTATAAGTCAACAAAAATGTTGCTATAAAATTAGAGTCCAATTGATCATGACTAGTCAACCTCTCAATTAATGCTTTAAGTGTTCCACCTTTCACTTGCGTTTCCATATTAAAAACTATGTCAGAATGATCATAATCATACTCAAGAAACCATGGTTTTTCATTTAATTCAGGAAGAACTTCTACTCCAAAAAATTTAGATACTTTATTTTGTTTGCGAACTAATTTATCATTAGCTGTCGAATCGATTGGTGACAAAGGAGGCGATAAATCGTAGGAGTAATCAGATGATGCAGAAATCGGATGTGGTAACAACTGCGAAGGTTCTTGTGAATTATAATTAATATTGTCGTTGATATTATTATTATTATTGTTATTATTATTATTATTATTATTATTATTATTATTATTATTATTATTATTATTATTATTATTATCGTCATTAATAGCGTTAATATCAATGTTATTATTTCCTTTAATTACGTTCTGATCCTTAACTTCTATTAACGACACAGGATTTTTTTCATGATGATTATTATTATCATTTTTGTTCAAAGTCAAATTTTCAGAAGAAGAAGAAGAAGAAGAAGAAAAATTATTATTTTGCATTAAATAATCTCTATTCTGTACTCTTGATTCCTTTTCTTCCAATAGGAACTTTAGTGCTATTATAACATCTTTTACTGATTTTTCAACAATATTTGCTGAATTTATAAGTTCTTCTAAAACATCACGTTGATTCAAAGGATCAATCGAAGCCTGTATAACAATTATTAAACTTGCAATGCTATTATATATAAATTGCTTTGCGACTTCAAATTCATTTATAAAAGATTGACTATACTCATCTAAATCTTTTAAATCGATGTCTTCTAGCATGGATAAAAATTGACCACTTTGTTTTATAATTTGATGTACTTGATTAAATAATTGAGCCATATCATTAATATTTTTTGATGATGCATTATTATTCAATGAAGCATCTCGTATACTGTTGATGTCACTCATTAATGAATTAATTGTTTTGAAAATAAATTTCGAATTTTGATCAATAGAAATAACCAAACCATCAGTTAGATGTTGCGACGGAGCTGCAAAACCATTTGAATCACTACCACTTTTATACTTTAATAGCAAAGAGGGATTTCTACGATGTCGATTGTTTGTTAACATTGGCCTTAAATTATTACCACGCCATGAACCACCATAAGAACTCTGTAAAATTCTAGGATCAACACGTCTGATTTCCACAATATTTTTTGAAATTTGAACAAATTGTTGGACAGCTTCAAGAACTTCATCCACATCATTCCTCAATTTTTGATTTGAATCAGGAGGGGGCCATACACCAGCAGCTATTTTTGTGCTTAGTACCAGTTTTGATAATGATGCCATTATACGTCTATGAAAAAGTTTTAAATTTTTATTTTCTCGGATAGTATATGATTCTTTATCAATTGTACCGGAGGCATAAAGCATAATCCGAATCCTTTCAACAATAGAATTAGTACAGACGATGAAATCATGTTTAGCATTCTCTTTAGCAGCATTGTGTAGTTGTTGAATAGATAAAATAATGCTAGATAATAATGAATCCCAATTGAGTAGTTCATTTGTCATGATAATCAAAGGTTCTGGAGAATATATTGATTGATCTGAATAACCAGGAGCTAAACCAGTTTCATTTGAATTATTTTCATTATTTTGTATCTATATATATATATATATATATATATAAAGATGTTATTATTTAATTTTTTAAAAAATTTTTAATAATAATAATAATACAAACCAATTGACCACCAGAATCTACGTTTTCCAGACTCCAAATAGTTTCTTCATTTGTTTGATTGTAATAATAATCTTTGCCTTGTGGAGTAGTTCTTTTACTCCAATTAGGCGGAAGCTTGCTGTCATCATTATTGTTATTCAGTTGTTGTCTTTGTTGAATTGTTCCTATGGTACTTGTACTAAGTCTACTACCTCGAGAACTAGCTAAACTTTCTTCGTCGGCAGCATCAAGGTCATCATTTGCCACTACTTCTTCTTCAATTGAAGTTACATGAGAAACAATTCCATCTCCATCAATATCATTAGAAGTAGTGATTATTGAACCAGAGGGATGAGTCCATCGAATCTCTTGTGTTTGAATATTTAAATAATAATAGGTAGTACCATCTTCTGTAGGATGCTGTATCCAATTTTCAGGTAATGGTCTATTTTGACTTGCTAAAATATCGATTGAACCAGATAAAGAATCTAGAGATCTTGATGCACGATGATGATTTGAAGTTGTGCTAGCTATTGAGGCGTGGCGAGAGCGTACTGACCTCCTGTTGTTATTTTGAACGATGATGGGTTCAATGTCATCATCATCATCATCATCATCAGATGGTGCGTCCCATCTAGATTCACCTGTATGAACATTATAATAAAACATCACACCATCGGGTGTATGCTGTACCATCCAATCCGACAACTGACAAAAAAATTTATTTATTATTATTATGATTAAAAAAAAATGAGAATATAAATCGTGCAAATATAAAATAATCACTTTATCTCCCTCCAAGTCCAAGTCGAGTCCTTCTTTATCATCTGCAACATCGTGACATTCTTTTGTAACCTCCACCTCTATATCATCAATATCCTCGTCATTTTCAGTAGTCACATAATTACTAGGAAACCAACCACGATGACCATTACATAAACCATCCCACCACCCAGATTCTAACTGAGTAAGCACTTGTATTTTATCGTTTTTTCGAAATGATAAGCTTGAATGTGTTTCTGAATTAAAATCGTATAACGCTCTGACAAAAAAGGCCGATGAAGACATAGTATAACATTAAATTAAAAATATATATATGAAATCTCTTATAATTAAATAATACGATCTAAAAATTAAGGTTTTTATTATATTTATAAGAAATTTTTAGTAGTTATTTATTAAAAAATTTTTCATATTTTAACATTAAAAAAGAAATTACAAAGATTACAAAGGAATTATTAATATTGTTAATAATAAATATGCATTGTGTACTAAAAAAAAAACAAAATATTAATATCGGGAAACTTGAACAATTTTGAAAAGTCGAAAATTTTTCCATATAAGACAATAAAATTTCCTTTATTAGGTTTGAATGTGGATCGTTGCCTTTTTAGGAAGAAGCATAATTGGTCCCTTTCAAATACATAAACAAACATAAAACGTTTTTGCTTCAAAAACTGCTTAAAGTTTCAAAAACAATAGCAAATCTTTAATACCAATATTTTTTCCAAAACAACATTTTCAACGTTTTTTATAAAATAATGATGCAATTCGCGATATTCATGATGTGTTACACTTATTAAACTAGGTATATATGGTCGTGTAACATAACCCCCGGATATTAATGAATGAATGCCACGCATATTAATATTAATATATATATTAATAGTAATAATATTAGTATATTAAATTTACTTTTTTTGGAGAAGATAATCACATTCACAATCAACAATTCAGCCAGCACATACGAAGAGTTTTCAACGTCCTCGTTTTTCAATTAAAAGAATCCTACTTCGGTCACACTAAAACACTTACCACCCTTTTAGTATAAGATAGTCATATTTCTACTCAATCAAAAGGATTTGTTGATGTAACAGGGGTGCAGCTATGTGCATTGGAAGAAGTTGGAAGTTCCAATGGAAGGTTTTGGCGCGTTCTTCAATTTATCACGTGAATAATTTTTGATTGGACAATAGTATTGATGACGTAAGGCTTTCACATCACTGCAGAGGTGAATTAAAATATTAATCGTTATTGGCAAGCTTTACTTAATATTAAGATAAGCAGAATGACAACGAAATCTTTGATGAATGTCCTTTTTAGGAAAACCAATTTTTTACACCAGATGGCATATGGAAGGTTTTTAAAGAAGATGTAATTTCTTCATCTTGGAACTCACCAGGGAAAGGTTTCGCCCTAATTTGGTTAAAAAAATATATTAAAATATGCGCATTGAACATATATATAACAAATGTTTAGTGGCAGTCATTAGTCTTAAATGGGTCTTGATACACCTTCTAGCATTAGAGATCAGCGATAAATTAAATATCATTGTAAAAAAGAAAAATTAAAGATCAACAGATCGGAAAAGAAGTAGTGATGGAGATGAATATTCATTCATCGATGGTATTATAATCAGGTGAGAAAATGCCTAAAATAAAAATATGACTGTCGCCTCACCATTAATCAATCGTCTTGGTGAGTTCCAATCAGGAATCCCTAAATCACTTGAAAATTAAGTTTAAACACTAATCAAAGTTTTAAATTCTAATTTTTTAAATCCACGTCCTTTTATTATATACTTTTTTAAATAAAATTACAAATAAAGGTATTACATGATATATATATATATATATATATATATATATATATATATATTAATAGAATATTATTTAATTATTTAAATTGATAAAATGCCCGAAGCTTGTCTCGCCAACATACGACCACTAAATTGTAAAGTATTTGAACCTCCAGGAAAATAGGATACAAGATACCTAAATAATAATAATTGATTAATTAACTATTAAATAATAAATAATTCATCAAAAGAATTTAATAAATACCATAAAAGAGCAACAATTTGTATTATACAAAAGATAAGTGTAAGAATTGCACTCTTCAGCTACAATCAATAATAAATAAATAAATTTATATCATTGTAAAAAAACGTTTATTAATTTAAATTTACCCCAATTGCAAAGTACAATGTTGCAACCAATGATCCAAAGTATGCAATACTAAATGGGAGTCGTTCACGAGAAGTAACATGTTTAAGGTACGCCATTGGACCATGTAATAATGCAAAACTTTTAAAATAAAAAAAATAAAACTATTAGACAGACAACATGGCCTTGAAGAAACAATATATAAATGTATGAATAGTTTTATTAACCTTATTATTATCATAACACTTCCTATTGTATACGTTGCTGCAAATTTTCTAGGTTTTATAGCCAACAATGGTAACGTTAAAAATGCCTATAAATATTAGATTCATGATGTCATAATTATTTTTTGTTTAATTTAAAGAAAGACCCCAACTTAAAATTAAAGGAAATTTTAACATACTATTAAAAATAAAAATGCCCCACCAGCAAAAAATACACCAAAACCTATAAATCTCTGAGAATTTAGACAATAAACAATAAGATTACTATTATTAATTTCCAACAGAACAGATGCTGCTCGTACTTGTAATTACTAACCTGCCACTTACTTAACGCATACCATGGCTCTTCTACTTCAGCATTATTTAAAGGTAAATAACCTTGAACTCTATTACCAATGCTACCAAAAAAACTTGATGTATTTACTGTTAATCTTGAAAAGGGAGAAGCGTTGTTATTATTATCGCCAATGTTTAAAGTAGCGGATGTAGATGTGTTATTTGCCCAACTAAAGGAACGTAAGGACTCGCGAAACTGTTGTTCGTTAGATGCCATTTTTTAAATCAAAAACTGCAAAAATTGATAATTATTGTTCTGCCAACTACCGAGTTTCACACTAAAAATTTTGAAGTATCATGTGATCTACATGTGGAGAACCCCGAACAATCAACATTTGAAAAATACCCACTTTATTCCCATTTTTGGAAAAAATTTACAAATTTATCCTATTTAAAAAATGATACAGTGCGGATCATCTATACTCAAAAGTTAAAATTTTTGAAATATTATGTGATCCACACATTGGATTTTAAAAAAC